TAATGAGTCAAGAAACTGGTTTGGTAAAACCTTTCTGCAAAACTCTGAACATCTTCTCTTGCAGCCAAACAAATTTTTTGTAGTTTTCCCATTGTGATGTATAATGATAACCACTGAATGCAGAATTTCAACACCGCTTATCAATCATTATTGATAAGCATTATTTCTTGAACAAACATCTCTAAAATCGTTGCATTTTGTTGCTACTGATGTGATGAAACTAATGTGAGTGAGTTCAGAGTAAAGGCAAATCTGAGCTGAAGGTGGAACCAGAAATAGATGGAAACCATTTGAAAGAAATGATGAAGATGAAAACGGAGAAAAAGATCAGGAACAGCAATTTCAAATGAAATTTTTGTAACCGCGTTGGACTATATTTTTGCACATGCAATGAAAACCCATATGAACAGAATTCAAAAAAGCACTGGCCATTTTATTAAGTACACTGGATGCCACAGCATAACACAAATATCTCAAGACACAATGACATGGCAGCTACTCACTGTATTTAGGCACGTAGTCATGTTCAAGATGATCTGCTGAACTTCAAACTGAGCAGCAGTTAAATCAGGTAATTTAAGTGACTTTGAATTTGACACAGTTGTTTCTGCAAGCTGTTTGTTCTGTTTCCCAAAAAGAAATTTCTAGGGTTTACAGACAATCATCTTATGATCTGAAAAAGAGAAAATGCCCAAGGAAGGCAGTATCAATGTGTTTGTTTTCTTTATTTGCATGTTTTTGGGGAGTTTTTTGATACCAGAGTTCAAAGGAGAACAGGATAGGAAAGCAACAATAATTCAAATAATCATTCATTACAACTAAGTAATGCGGAAGCGATCCTTCAAACCTTGAACCAGATAGACTGCAGCAGTGGAAGGCCACACAGGATGCATCTCCTGTCAGGTAAGAACAGGAAACAAACTATAATTCACCAAAACTGAACAAAATAGGATTGGAAAATGTTTGCTGGTATAATAAGTCTCGATTTCTCCTGTGATATTCGGATAGTTTGGTCAGAATTTGACATACACACATGAAAGCACAGATCCATACTGGCTTGTATCAACAGTTCAACCAGTGCCAGTGATGCACAATAATGATACGAGGGATATTTTCTTGGCATATGTTGGTCCCCACATCATTATTATTTTTGTAGAACTGAAACAAGCAGAGTTCGGAAAGACCTGTGTTACAATTTGTGAAAACTGTTCTTTTATTTACATTTTGTGAAGTATTTGAAATGGTGTGTAATGAATCTGTTATTATTTTTGACTGGTTATTTGTATTATCTAATGACTGTTTTACAGTTTCTCTCTTAAAGCAGTTCTCAAAAGGGTAATGCAGATTTTTAAGCTCCTCATTCAAATTTCCTTTTCAATCACATCCCAAAGTTGCTCTACTCGACTGAGATGTGATGACTGGAGGTATCATGAAGTACTGTGTGCCAGGCAGTGGACCCAAATGCAGGACTCGGCCGACAGACTTTATTAGCTGGCAAATGGCAGACTTAATAAAGAGCTAGGTCTTCTGCTGCTGTAGCCCATCTGTGCCACGTTCATAGGTCTTCTTTTGCATACCTTGTTTGTAACAAATGCTTATTTGAGGTGCTGTTGCCTTCCTATCAGGTCAAGGTACTCATTCTCCTATGACCTTGAGATCAACAAGGTATTTTCACCCTTTACCGCTCACTGACACTTTCTGTTTTTCAGACCATTCTCTGTATTGGATTAACGAGCAGTTTAGAAAGATCTGAGTTACATGTCCTGAACAATATTTGTTTTGTACTTTGGTTGTTTGCTGTAAGGTTTTGTCTACTCAGATTGCTGTGACTCAGCTTGTGAACACACAGAAATCCATGGGTGAGGTGGTTTTTGTTACACAAATGTAAAGCTGCGAGGCTGCAGGCAGTGGCTACTTCCACTGTTACAATAATTATTTTCTTTTATAAAAAACACAACTGGTTTTATTATATAAAAATTTCAAATGCCTTTTAAAAGTTTACTTTACTGCAACAGCTTATTGCAGGTTTTTAATATATCCTGGTTGCCAACATTGAAATCACAAGATAACTGCATAAACACCCTTTTTCCTAAGAATCAAGACCTGCCTAGACAATTACACTCTACATACAACTTTTATTGTTATAAGCTACTGGAATCAAGAGTCAACACTGGGATATTAAAGTTGTTCTCAATCACTTTGGTGTAATTCTCACATCAGGAACATCACTCTTACCGCTCTTAATGCAGTTTTCAAAACAGTTAAGGCATTTTAACTGACTTATCCTTGCAAAAGGCTAGTAAATCACTTCATCTCTGAGATTACTGAATAAAAACCTTGGAATTATACAATTATGCAACTATATGCATCAGAAAACACACAAAAAATATATACAAACTGAGAACATAGCACCAATTACTGTGTAGTCCAGTAAAGTCATGCTAGCAAGATTCAGCAACCACTTTATTAGGTACAACAGAGTACTTCGAGCTGAGAGGGAAATAGTGACCACTTGTTATAAACAAGGTATGCAGAAGAGCATCTCTGAACTAACAACACATCAGACCTTGATGCAGATGGGCTACAGCGTCAGATGACCACACTGGGTGTCACTCCTCTCAGCTAAGAACTTTAAACTGAGGCTACATTTTTCACCAAAATTGCGCAGTAGGAGACTGGGCGGGGGGCTGTATTCAAATGACCTCCCCAATGACCAGATCTCAGTCCAGAAGAGCACCTTTGCCACGTGGTCAAAATTTGA